TTTACCTCACTATGGACTAAGACGGTGCTGACCAAGAAAGACGCCCCTGTTCCAAAATCGACACCTTCAAACTTGACTGAAATTTGCAGCTGCCCATATTTACAAGCCAAATACCTTCTGAAGAAAGGTTTTGTGCTTAGATGAGAGAAAGATTGAGCTGTTTCGCCACTGTGATAAAAGGTATGTTTGGAGGGGTAAAGGTGAGGCTTTCAAACATGAGAACATGCTGTCGAGCATGGTGGTGGTAGCATCATGCTCTTGGGCTGTGTTGCTGCCAGTGGTATTGGCACATTGCACAAAGTGGATAGAATGATTATGGAGGAATTAATTCTAAAAAACTGATATAAACCCGTATTGTTTGCCTTCAGTGCATTTATTTAGTATGGAAGTACTGAGAAGCAATGGACTGTTTCTTGTGTAGTACTTTCTACTCCACCTAAGGACTCAAAGGGTGACAATACTTATTTCACCTATTCCTATAGGTTATATATAATGTTAACACTCACAAGCAACTTGGGGTTAGTTTCTTGCCCAAGTATATTTGGATATTTCTCAAGCAACCAGGGATCGAACCACCAACCTTCCAATTAGTAAATGATCTGCTCTACCATCTAAGCTACAGCCACCCCGAAGTATTTCTATATGGGACAGATTTAACAGAGTGGCTGAAACATTCCTCAGAGATTTTGGTCCATGGCAGATTTATCAGCTACACATCCCAAAGATGCTCTATTGGATTAAGGTCTGGTGACTGTAGAGGCCAGAGTACAGTGAACATGTTCAAGAAACCATATTGAGATGATTTAAGCTTTTTTACACTTTGTTTTATTCTGCAGTCATCAGAAGACGTATACACTGTGGTCATAAAAGGATGGAAATGGTCGGCAACAATATTCCACCATTAGCACCCTGAAGCATTGATCTAATGCGATCCTATAAGGATGGATTCATGTTTTCATGTTCTTTACACCAAATTCTGACCCTTTGATCTCAATGTTGCAGCTCAAAGCAAGACTCATCAGACCTGGTAACAATTGCCCAACCGTCTGTTGTCCAGATTTTGTGAGCCGGTGTGAATTGTAGAATCAGTTTCCTGTTCTTAGCTGACAAGAGTGATATCTGATGTAGTCTTCTCCTCTATTAAGATGCTCTTCTAGGTGCGTTGGTTGTAACAAGTTATTTTTCCCTTCATGTCGGCTCAAAGCAGTCTGACCATTCTTCTCTGACTTTTGACATTAACAAGGAATTTTCACCCAGAGAACTGCTGCTTTTAGATCATCTTATGTAAACCACAGAGATGGTTGTGTGGGGAAATCCCAACAGATCAGCAGTTTCTGAAATACTCAGACAAGCCCGTCTGGCACCAACAAAAAGGAGGCATTCAAAGTCACTTAAATCGCCTTTCCTCCCAATTTTTCTTGACACGTGATTTCTGTTGAAATGATCTGTGGTTCCAAAGTTATGCGCTATCGAGTATATCACTGTCGGTATAATTGGAAAGCCTGTGAAATCAAATATGTTGTGTGACATTTATGTTTATTGGCCAGAAAGTATGCATGCGTCAATATGGATGTATATATGTCTAATACAGGGGTGGGCAATTCCAGGCCCCGAGGGCCGGTGTCCTGCAGGTTTTAGATCTCACCTTGGGTCAACACACCTGAATCACATGATTAGTTCGTTACCAGGCCTCTGGAGAACTTCAGGACATGTTGGGGACCTAATTTAGTCATTTAAATCAGCTGTGTTGGTTCAAGGACACATCTAAAACCTGCAGGGACACCAGCCCTCGAGGCCTGGAGTTGCCCACCCCTGGTCTAATATGTCTTTAACTTACCCCAGCCCAGCAGGTAATACTAAAGGAAATGTTGTTTTTCTGCAAAGAACTACCAGAGTGTGCAGGTAGATGCCCTCATAAAGCATCCAGAAGTAGTTAACTTAACTTCACTAAGGTTGTGAGCACAATAACGGGCACAGTCAAGGTAAGGATGAAGTAGAGAAAGACATTTATGTGGAGAGTTATCCCTTGGCAGCTCAGACTCCTGATGGTTATTAGAAGAGAAGACACATTAGATTTTTACTTTTGAATCACAGACTTGTCCTTAAACTGAAACACCAATCCTATCTCCCCAGTCAAAACAGGTCAAGGCACAAAAATTTATATTTAATATATATGCTGATGACATCACATGCTAGCCTGCTGTTCCGACGAGACACTCCAGGAGAGCAACGATGAACATTACAACACAGGTGGACAATAATCATATAGATGAATGATTTAAGGATGTGAGTGTTATGACTGATTGCATAAAGAGTTTTAAAGTCTTAAAAAATGACTGCAAATGTATAACACTCATCAGCAACTGTGTGATGAATGGAAGCAGGAAGAAAAAAGTGACACAATATATAATAAATCACTGTGCATTTGGTTTATTTTATTTTATTTATTTAACTAATCAGGCTGCAGAAACTGAACCAACGAGCATGAAGAGTTCAAGTTTTTAACAAAGGTGACCTCTGCTGGATAAAAATAATAACTAGATAAAGTTGGCACTTCATGGGTCCTGGATTTAAGTCTATGGGATGGAAATTTATTTTTAAACATAACTAATATGTAGGACTGCTTTCTTCCATTTGCGCAACATCTCTAAAATTAGAAATATCCTGTCTCAGAGTGATGCTGAAAAACTAGTGCATGCATTTATTACTTCCAGGCTGGACTACTGTAATTCATTATTATCAGGGTGTCCTAAAAACTCCCTGAAAAGCCTTCAATTAATCCAAAATGCTGCAGCAAGAGTGCTGACAGGGACTAGAAAGAGAGAGCAGATTTCTCCTGTATTGGCTTCCCTTCATTGGCTTCCTGTTAAATCCAGAATTGAATTCAAAATCCTTAAATAATCAGGCCCCATCTTGTGTTAATGACCTTGTGGTACCATATCACCCTATTAGAGCACTTCGCTCTCTCTCTGCAGGCCTACTTGTTGTTCCTAGAGTATTTAAAAGTAGAATGGGAGGCCGAGCCTTCAGTTTTCAGGCCCCTCTTCTGTGGAACCAGCTTCCAGTTTGGATTCGGGAGACAGACACTATCTCTACTTTTAAGATTAGGCTTAAAACTTTCCTTATTGCTAAAGCATATAGTTAGGGCTGGACCAGGTGACCCTGAATCCTCCCTTAGTTATGCTGCAATAGGTAAAGGCTGCTGGAGGATCCCCATGATGCACTGAGTTTTTCTTCTTCAGTCACCTTTCTCACTCACTATGTATTAATAGACCTCTCTGCACCGAATCATACTTGTTATTAATTTCTGTCTCTCTTCCACAGCATGTCTTTTATCCTGTCTTCCTTCTCTCACCCCAACCGGTCGCAGCAGATGGCCCCATCCCTCCCTGAGCCTGGTTCTGCCGGAGGTTTCTTCCTGTTAAAAGGGAGTTTTTCCTTCCCACTGTCGCCAAGGTGCTTGCTCATAGGGGGTCATATTGTGTCGAGCTGAGGAACCTTAACAACAAAGCACCTACACAGACATTAAGCTTGCTGTTCTACCCCAAAAGGATAGGGAGAGCTCTTTATTGTACACTTCCCTCTACTACACTGTGTTTCAGAGGGTCAATAACTACAAGCCTGAACTCACTCATGGCACTACATTCTTTACATTAACAATAACTGTCTGGGAATTTATACTGCAGCATCAACAAGAACAGTTAAGAGTCACGTAACCATAAACAATAAACATCTTAAACAGCAACACATATTCCCAAGGCATGATGGGAGATAACTAGCCGCTTCCAACACACCACAATATGATTGTTGTATGTATCTGTATGTATTATTTTAGGCTCTACCTTACAATATAAAGCACCTTGAGGTAATTGTTGTTGTGATTTGGCGCTGTATAAATAATATCAAACTGAATTGAATTGAATATGAATTCTAACTGTTGTCAAATAGGGCTGTCAGCTGTGTACCAACCTGATTGCTGAACAACACAACTGATGGTCCCAACCCCATTAAGACAGCAAGAAATTCCACAAATGAACACTGTACAAGGTACACCTGTGAAGTGAAAGCCATTTCAGGTGACTACATCATGAAGCTCACTGAGAGAAGGCCAAGGGTTTGCAGTGCTATCAACAAAGCAAAAGGTGGCTACTTTCAGGAATCTAAAATATAAGACAAATTCATATATATTTTTTCTTTGCTGCATAATTCCATATATTTGCTTCATATATTTGATGTCTTCAGTATGTATCTTCAAAGTAGAAAGTAGTAAAAATAAAGAAAACGCATTAAATGAGAAGGTGTGTCCAAAGTTTTGATGGGTAGTGTATATTTTAAATATATAACTTTCTACAGACTGAGTATCTGAGGATGATGTGAGTAACAGCAGCAGCAGCAGCAGCAGCAACAATACAATACAACATGTGTAATAGTGATAGCCAAATGTAGCTTTCTGAAGCATTAAAGCTTGTATTGAGAAACGGTTCATTACTCGAAGCTCTTCAACACAGTCATCTTTGGTGACATCTGGTGGGCAAAAATAAGAAGAGCAGCATGAATCTACAACTTAAAATGAACTGCTTTATTATGATGCCCACTCTACAGAGCTGAATTAACAGCTGTTTGATATTGGGCTGATATGGTGCTTTGAACATGTATTTTTTGGGGTGAAAAATGACGTTATGTCTATGTTTATAATAAATCATTTTGATTAATTAACCTTCCTTGTTAAAACGTGTTCCATGGTGAATGAAGGTTCTGTTGAATCGTGTCCAATGAAGCTTCGGACGTCATTGGTCACGTGACTCTGTTCAGACGAACCAAGCCTCGTTTCGTAAGTGTGTTGAATGCGCCGGAGCTTCCGCTTCAAACGTGCTGTTACTAGTAACAGGGTCAGTTGCAAAAGTCTCTTCTCACAGTTCTCACTGTTTTCTACAGTAATTGGTAAATACTTCTTTACACTAAAACGAACCATCAAATCTTGTAGTGACTATGGTAACGCTTACCCGATGCGTCTGCCACAAATCTCACGAGAACTGGAAGAAAGTTGCGCACGCAGCCGTCGCCATCTTTAAAATTAGAAGGAGGCGTTTGCAGGCATTGTTGGTGTGCAGCCAGTTAATTAAACTTGGGCAAATTTCTACAAAAGTATTCCAAGCATGGCTAATCGAAATATGCAACAAGTTAACATGCAAAGCAACAATTCTCCTCAACCGGCGAGACGCGGAACCGACTCACCGGCGGCGGAGCAGACACCGGCGAACAAAGACAGCCCGGCCCCGCCGCCGAGGCAGTCCCCCGTTGCTGAACAAATGGAAGGAGCTGTGGAAGGAAGCGGCGAAGGCCCGACAGAAATGACCCTAGACATTACTAGTTTCCGAAAGCCCGGTGAAAAGACGTTCACTCAGCGCTCCCGTCTTTTTGTCGGCAGTCTCCCGCCGGATATTCCAGAGGAGGAGTTCAAAAACCTGTTTTCTAAATATGGGAACGTCAACGAGGTGTTCATCAACAGAGAGCGGGGCTTCGGCTTCATTCGTTTGGTATGGAAAATAGTTCTACTTGTTGGTTTTAACGTGAAGCCTCAAATATAATAAACACACACATATAGCAAGCTTTTATGTAGCATTACTAATTAATATATATTGGAAGCTAGCGTCTTATATTTGAGAGTAAATTATTTATTTTTATTTATTTTTTTGCAATTCTACATCCTATACGTTATGTCAGGCACACTTTAACAATGTTGCGTGAAAGCAATGTTGAGGGAATGCGTCTTTATCCCTTCAGGAAACCCGAACTGTAGCAGAGATCGCTAAAGTCGAGCTGGATGGGACTATTTTGAATAATCGACCAATCAGAGTCCGCTTTGCCACACACGGTTCTGCGCTCACAGTGCGCAATCTGCTGCCTGTGGTGACAAATGAACTGCTGGAACAGGTAGAGTAGACAAGAGAAGAAAACTACTTAGTAAAATCTGCATGTATTGCTACAATGATTTATGCATTTATGGTTACCTAACTTCGCTGTATCCTCAGGCGTTTTCCCAGTTTGGACCAGTGGAACGGGCTATTGCTGTGACAGATGATCGAGGTCGTCCGACTGGGAGAGGCATTGTGGAGTTTGCAAGCAAAGTAGCAGCGCGTAAAGCTCTGGAGCGCTGCACCGAGGGAGCACTGTTGCTGACCACGTAAGGAGCAGAGGGATGAGGCTATTTAATGAGCTGAAAACATTTGAATATGTTCATTCTGGTGTTGAGTTTGTAATTACATTCGGTTCTTTAAAGTAACTTGTTTTTATTTTAAAAAATGCAGCAACACCACATTAGGTCCTTGCCATTATAGAAGTGAAAAAGATGGTTTTAGGATTAATTTTGTCACCCTTCATCAGTATCCCCAGTACTTCCTGTGGCAATGTTTCATAGGATTAATACAGTAAGTCTGAGTGTACAGATACATGAGTCTGCACAAATTGGACATGCTTTCAGAACTTATTTCCATAATCACTTTGTCACAAATATGTGAGCAATATAATCAAATCATTCTCCGGTGAGAGTTGTCACACAAATGAAATCCTAACTAAATCTCCTGGGACTTCAGCTGGTGACAGTAGTAGTAGCTTAGCATCACATGAAGCAGTTTTTCTCCTACTGAACATTCTAACAGACCCTACAGCATGGAGGAGATGTCAAGAAGCTGCAGTCCAAGATAATGGAGCTGGAGTCCATCTGGAGAAGCAGCTGAAGGGTACTGAGAAATGCTCGAATAGCAGCATGGACAGTGAGCCAGCAGTTGTGCAAAAGATGCAGGCCAGGAAGGGCTGGGGATAGCTGGTGAGAAGTGACTGAATTTTTAAAATAAGAGGAGATTGTCCAGTGGAAAATTAACTGTCCTCATGGCATTTGGCAAAACAGGTTGCCAAATGCATATATGCGGATCTCCCAAATTTTATTAACCAATAGAATAGAATAGAATTCAACTTTATTGTCAATGCACAGGTACAGGGCAACAAAATGCAGTTTGCATCCATCCAGAAGTGCTTTAGTGATATAGATATATTACAATATATATTAGCAATAATATAGATATGTGAGTATATTACAGAAATGGGTCTATTATGGTATTTTATAATGTACACGGTATGAAGTATGTTGTGAATATTCTATAACTATAAGTATGTACAGGCTGTAGTGAGTACAAGCTATGTACAGGCTATGAACAGGATATAAATATGAAATAAAAAAACTATACAGAAATATGAGATATACAGTTATACAGAAATGTGAACTATGCAAGTTATAAACAGTTGTAGGATTAAAAATTATCGTATGTACAGAATGATTATTTACACAGAACTATACAGTAGTTCTGTGTAAATAATCATTCTGTACATACGATAATATCTGCTAATGTTAGAATTAACAGTTTCTTCACTTTTTTCAGAACACCCTGTCCTGCCATTGTGGAACCTGCAGAACACTTTGATGATGAGGATGGTCTTTCTGAAAAACTGCTCCAAAAGACTCCGAAGTACTATAAGTAAGTAATGAGTCATTTTGCAGTCACATCGTAATTCAGTGGATTTGTTTCCTTCCTTTGATACTGTTGTAGACAACTGAAGGTCCGTATCAGAGGAATGCTATAATTCAGATTTATTGACAGTACTTGCATTTTCTCCTCAGGGAACGAGAACAGAAGCCACGTTTTGCTCAGCCCGGGACGTTTGAGTTTGAGTTCTCATCTCGTTGGAAAGCTCTTGATGAGATGGAGAAACAGCAGAGGGACCAGGTGGACAGGAACATTAAAGAGGCTAAAGAGAAACTGGAGGCCGAGCTGGAGTCAGCCAAGCATGAACATCAGCTCATGTTAATGAGACAAGGTGTGATCTGTGACCTTTATTGCTCATTTTTACATATGGAGTTTAATACCAGCCTGCTAATGTGGATAATATCTAGTAATGTTTTGGAGATGCTAATCAGCTTTTCGCATATATTTAGATGGAAGAAAAGTATATGGACCTTTCCGAAATGAACTGGTTAATAATACTGTTAGTGTTTTCTCTGATTTAAAAAATTAAAGAAAGAAAAATTGTTATTTCACAGAACTTGGTGAAAATAAATATCATGCAATATAATGTAGCCTTACAATCAGTTGCCTTTCCAGTGAGTCTCTCATTTCTTGGATGAACTTTTTTACGTTTACTGTCATTGATCTAGACCTAATGAGACGTCAGGAGGAGCTGAGGAGACTTGAGGAGCTTCGCAACCAAGAGCTACAGAGACGAAAGCAGATAGAGATGAGGTGTGCTTCTTTATTTAAGCGGTTAATGTGATTAGTATTTACTGTAAAGGGCCAAATGATATTGTTTTGCTTCTCTCGAGGCACAGATCTGTTAGGTTAAAAGTCGTGGTTCATTTTTACCCCACTTGTCCCATTTATTTTGGTTGTTTACATATTAAAAATAAATGAAAATTACTGGACTAGAATCAATCTGACGATAAGATGCTTTCTTTTAAAGCTCATTGAGGTTTGTGTTAATCGATCTGCAATTGTTCACACATTGTTCACTCTTTGCTTTGTAGGCACGAGGAGGAGAGGAGGAGGAGGGAGGAGGAGCTGATGAGGCACAGAGAGCAGGAGGACCTGAGACGCCAGCCAGATGGCTTCAAACCAAACTACATGGAAAACGTGAGTACAGATGGAGCGCATATATCCACCTGCCTGGTTAATTTCTATACTGATGTGAGGGTACACAGCCACCTAAAATTAATAGCATCTGCCAGTAATGTAACCTAAAGGCTGGTGTTTTTTTTTGTTTTTTTTTTTAATACTTTCTTACTTAATACTTACATACACAACCTGTATATTTATGCACGTCACATCGCACCATAGAGTTTTGTTTTATAATTTGTTTTCAAAGGTCTAAATGTAGGAATATAAAGAGATTGACTTATTGACTTTGATGAAACTACCTAAGTAGTGTGATACACCCTGTATAGCCATCAATACAGAGCTGTACCTTTACATCTTACTTCATAACCTTCAGTTGTTGGACTTTGTTACTAGTAGTGTGTCTTATCTGTTGCAATCAGTTTCTTTTATTCCTTTCTTGAGGAAGTAGTTTTAATATGACGATGTATCCTGTACTTCATACATCAGTTCCAAAATAACCCATAATTTTAACACGCTGGGTTGGTTGAAGTTATCATTTTTGGCTTCTAAGAGCAGAAGTAGTGTGAGTATGTCAGACCACATGCACAAATGTTGGGTTTAGTTTGTGCTTCAGGTCGCTATCCTTATAGAAACATCCCCAGAACTGACATTTCTTTTATAGTCAGACTTGTGTAGAAATCTAGTTTGACAGCAAATTTGATTAGTAGGAAAAGTGCTGCATGCTCTTTTGTCAAACTAGTGAAAGAAATATTATTTTTTGGAAACTGCGAGCTTGGCATGTGGCTGTTACCGAAGTGGTTATTTGGAACAAGAAGTTACACCACTTAAAGGTCAGGTATCACAGGCTAGCTTGCTAACTTTAATAAGTGATATTATTAGGAATGATAACTGTTTCCCTTTCTCTGGTCACAGCACTTGGTCATACCAACACTATTGTGTGCATTGTAGATATATAAATAGCATTCAAATTCTTCTGTTTGCCACAACTGTAAATTGGAATCTTTCGTTCTGTAACTGTAAAATAAGCCAACTTATGCAAAAATAAGCAGAAAACACAAATTTTCTAACAAATGACGACACTGATGAAATTTCATGATTCAAAACTGTGACTGGAGTTCACTGGTATATTAATTTTGTACTCAGTTTATATGACTAACAAGTTAATACAAATAGCTAACATGTAGCAGCCCTCAGTGCTAGTGAGGGAACTTCAAGATTAGCTTCACTTCCCTGACCTGGTGGCTGTGTTTATATTTTATATACAGCCTGTGGTCTTTGCTGAGCAGAACATGTTTTTCCTGTTTGGATTCATTTTGCGTCACTTCAACTGACAAGAATCTGACTCACTATATTTTTTTTTGTAGTTTTTCTACAAGCTTTATTTGACTTCAAGCTAGACCTGGGCGATATAAGATTTTTTTCATATCACGATATATATATATATATTTTTTCATTTCAGGCGATAACGATATCTATCACGATATAAGCCAAATAACTATATTTGTAAGATTTAAATGTGCCGTTGCTCACAAGTAAAATGTGAAATAATCAGCAGCTTGTTTTTATTTAAATATTTATTTCCCATAATAAGTTCAACAGGGTAGATGTACTTAAGGAACATGAGACTTTTTCAGATAAATAAAGGCAAATATTGCAAACTACACAAAAGGCAGCCGCTAAAGCGTTTAAGTTTCAAAATAGAACAAACGAAACAGACTAAATTGTCAATTCCACTTAGAAACAAAATATTAATTCTAAAAATAAATCTTAGTTTGTTTTACAGAAGAACAGACAAAATTGACTAACTTTTGTCAATATCAAATAAACTGAGAACTAAAAGGAAATTCTCAATCTCTCCTTGTTGTATAGCTGAGCTTTTCAAACAGTTTTAACAGTTACTTTAGTCTGATACACGGGTATTTTTGAAAACGGAGATTTTCCGTTTTCGTTTTAAAAAATAATCCCGTCCACACATAAAGGCAGAAATGAAGGAAAACGCTGCTATGAACATGCCAAAGCAGCAGGTGGCGCTAGATTCCTAACCGTGCAGAAATGTTGGCCAATCAGAAGTCTAGAAGCCTCGGTGGGAAAAAGTAAACAAAGCTGGGGCATAGAAGCAGAACCGAGTCGTATGTGTGGAGGGACAGTAACTGTGTGTATATGTAAGCATTTAAACACTGCAGAGAGTAGAATTAACAGTAACAGTATTGTAGAAATTCATTTCACCGAAACAATAACGTGGCGCACAGTGTGACGTCAAAAAATGCGCACACCTTTGACGCTGCGTTTTCTCCGTTTTTCTAGTCCACACGTAAATGCAAAAACGGAGTTTTCAAAAATATCCACCCTGGCCGGAGTTTTTAAAAATCTTCGTTTTCAGTGACCAAAAACGCCGTTTACGTGTGGACGAAAGGTGCAAACGCATAGAAAAATCTGCGTTTTCAAAAATACCCGGGTACGTGTGGACGTAGGCGCATGCACCAGTTTATTGTATTTCCAGACTTGCTTTCGGCACAATTTACAGTGCACGCTACTCTGTTTTTTGTCAGACTTGAAATAGCCGAAATACCTTCACACTACGGAACTTCTATGGCTCTTCCGTTCGACAATCTCTCCGGCATTGGAACCATCATCTGTTTTCTCTTCGGTCACGCTCGGTTGATTTTTCTAGTCGGCACACTCATTTCCTCCATTACCCGGGCGGTACGGTGGCTGGCTGCTTCCCAAACAAATACACATGTGCGGCTTGGCACTTGTGCTGTACGTAACAAGTCACGTGACGTGACGCTGCGGCTGTGATTGGTTCGGCTCTGCGCTACTTAATTTGGATTGGCTGTTCTTTTTTCTTTTTTCTTTTTTTAAGAGGACAAGAGCGGCGAAGTCTATCGTAATAGTCAAATTTTTCTATCGAGAAAAAGTTATATCGCGATACATATCGTTATCATTCTATCGCCCAGCTCTACTTCAAGCTTTATTTGACTTCATCTCCTGTTTATGGAAGCTTGTAATGCTTTATTAGTTGCAGTCAGAGCCATTGAATACTCAGTTGTCAGTGGGGGTTCAAAATGCATGATTATTGTGATTGATGTAGAATTCACATAGTTCCTGAAATGCTTATTAGGCATTTCAACGATGTAAATATGTATAGAGAAAACTGTTTGTTCGTAGTTAGTACTCAATAAATGGTGACCTACAATATTTTTTTTTAATACCATATTAATGTATATGTAGTTTATGTATATTTATTCCTAAGTAAAATAAAGGATTTACAGTAAGCCTTATTTGTTGTCGTAACATAGTCAGTGATACATGTTCAGCATGTTGGTGTTAATTTGTTTCTTTCTGTTTTTTTTTTTCTTTTTCCTCATAAAGCAAAAATTAATTGGCTGTGCCACATTTATGTGTCTGCTAACAGTATGGAATAACATAGCCTAATCTGTCCAATGCAGTCGCATACATCATTAAATCTCTAATCACACATTACGCTGTAAACCACCAGCATGGTTTAAGAAACTGGGTTTAGATGTGTTGTTCTTTAAACGTGTTATCTTTAACAAACACATCCCAAATGTATATGCAGCTATAACTGCTCCACTATTGTGAGGATTGTTAATCGACTCTTGGCGTTTTTTGATTGTTTTTATTTAGTTATTTATTTAAATAAATAAAATTGTAATGAAGGAAGAAAATATGACTGCAAGACTGGTCGTAGTTAGGACCCTCATAGAAACTACATCCGTCTCAGACTTTGTGTAGTTCAGCTGCTGAGCTCATAAGATCATGACAATGTTTTCAAAACTTTAAGCTGATTTATTTTTATTTTTTAAAAGGGGTCTTTTTAATTTTTTAGTTTCTTAAAGAACTACAATAAGCTTTTATACAAAATAAAAATTAAGTATTAGCAGTATTTTTGCAGAAGTGTTGTTTTAGGTAATTAAGCTATTAATGTCTTAGTGCTCAACAGTCTTATGTGACAATCCACCTTTTTGTAAGGATGTGCCTTAGTTTCGTTTCAGTTAGCAGGATGCACATGCACTAAACAAAATCTGAAGTCAAACAGTGTAGCTCTGTTGCACTGCCAGTTTCTAAATTAAGTTCTCATGATCTCAATACAGGTTGTGTGAATAGTTTTTGCTACATAGACATTTTTGCTACGATTTAAAAAGAAAAATATTAGTTATGTAATAAAACATGTGACATCCACCCCAACCTGTTCTATCTTATTAAAGTGTAACATGTAGGGCTTAACTTTGAAAATATCTTTACAGAGTCTATAAATATCTCGTTTTTTAAACATGCTGAGGGCTCTGTATATGATCAGCTGGTAAAAAGCAACATGTAGTGTTAACAGCAGTGACTATTTGTAATGATCTGACTATGCTGTCATGTAGGTGTGTAGCTGTTCGTATGATACTGCATTTTATTGATTTCTGTTATAACTTTTCTCTTCGTGTCCTTTGCTGTGTTTAAAGGTCCTGTTGGCGTCTCTTTACTTTCACATAGCAAATGGATGCTGAACAAATGTACTTAGACCTACCAATGTCTGCCATCTGTCTCTTATGACTTTTAGTCAGAGTAGTAATCAAAAAATACAGTACAAAAAATGGAAGTGTCAATGAACATGAATATTTTTGTAGTAGAATACCTGAGAAAGAGCAATTAGAAACCACTTTGTATTAACCAGACAACTAAGAGGGTTTCATGTTTTGTTTGTCAGGACATTTGCCACTTAATGTGGATATAGTATATATCCACATAATAGTAATATCTTGCAATGATGAGTAAAATATTTTTTTAAACTTGCTCATGTCCTTGTAATTTGTAGTACTTAGGTGTAGGTTGTAGTACAATGTTGTAGGTTTTATTGTCTCCCAAGAATCTAAATCCTGCATTTGTTGCTCTCTAGAGTTTAAAGTAGCAGTAAAATAATCACTGTTTGATAGATACTTTAGTGCAATTTTAGTCAGTTTTCTTAAAACTGCAACATGGTGACCATTTAAAAGGTAAGTACAGTAAATGGTACAGAAGTTTAGAATCACAGTATTTCCAGTAACTTGTTTCCTCTCCTACCTTCTCCAATGATATCTTTGATGCAGGCCACATTCATGATTGTTGTTGAACTGTATTATGAAAGTCTGTTGTATAGATTGTGATTTAATTGTGGAAATGTGCATATCGACCTACTCATACAAGTTTTACTTTAAATCAAAATAGAACATTATTTTTATGTTTTCTCATACTAGATTTGGTCTGTTTTGAATCTTAATTACTTTTTGTGTCTGCAGGATTGTGTGTGTGTGTGTGTGTGTGTGTGTGTGTGTGTGTGTGTGTGTGTGTGTAAATGAAATGTCTTAGTAGGGGTGTGTGTGTGTGTGTGTGTGTGTGTGTGTGTGTGTGTGTGTGTGTGTGTGTGTGTGTGTGTGTGTGTGTGTAAATGAAATGTCTTAGTAGGGGTGTTGTGTGCGTGTGGAAAAGCGAGCGTGACCATGGGGTCGGACACACCAAAATGACCTTTTAAGCGGGTATCACCAAATCCTCGCCTGTCTGCTACCATTAATGTACATGTACATAGATTTTTGACTTTGGGTAAATATGGTGACTGTGTGTGTTTTGTGCTTAGCTTCCAATGCAAACCAAAAATTACAACACTAGTTGTTATATGATATGTTTATGTAAAAAAACAAAACAAAAACAAACAAACAAACAAAAAAGACAAAAACAAGAAAAGAACTTGAGAACAACATTTTTGGATTTACAAAAATTACAAACCAGTTATATTGTATTTATATATAATATTTTTAATTAAAGGAGAAATGCACTTGTACATGCTGTACTCTGATATGTCCAAGTGCTTTCATTTTTGTACTGACGCGGGTCTGTATTGCAAAAACTGTTGTTATTGGTAGAGAGAGAGGCAAAATGGACTCTATTTACTTTGTTCTCCATCCTTGACATTCTGTAACTTGATAAATTACTACAAATGAAGGCTCCCTTACAGTATTGTTGCAGTCACCATGCCGTCCTTGGATTCACATATGAAGAACGTGCTTTATGAAATTTGCCAACTTGGTGTGTCAGATATTAACAGTTTTATTTGATACGTATTTTTACAAAAGTAATTTGTCCTTGTTTGAATAGAGTCAAAGAAGCACTAAAGCTAACACTAAATTCTAGCTTTACTACAACTGCTATTCATCCAAGTGTGAGATTGCTTGTCTGCCATTGTGTGGAAATGTAATGATTTGTGAGTGTTCTGCAGTTGGCTCTCCGCTGAGCGTTTGTATTTTAGCAGTGTTATTCTGAAGGCTTCTCTTCACTTCTTCCAGAGAGAACAGGAAATGAGAGTGGGTGAGCTGGGCCCTCGTGGAGCCATTAATATGGGAGGTATGGGCATCATTGTGTAAGGACTGGTTAATACAAAAACCAGATCAAGTGATTTGTTTTCATGTATCAGGTTTATTCTTCTTGCATTCCTAGTGGCTTATTTCCAACACTGCAATTAACATATATTGGAGTGTTTTTAATGCTTTTTCAGTTGGAAATGGAGTCAGTTGGGATGCAGTACACAGCAGTAAAAATAAACTATGTTCCTCACAATAACATGGACTTGATACTAATAAGAGTTTACAGTGTGCTGAATGGGTACTGTCTCTTAGGGTGGTGGGGTTGATAGTTTGAGAACTACTGGGTCTCTGAGCCTTCATCCTCAGCTCTGTGTGGGTCTGCAATAATAGATAATAAATGTTAAAAACATATTCATTTATGTGATATTTTAAGTTGTACAAGTCTTGGCCTTTAGCCTTGCAGTACATGCAGACTTAATTCTTTTTCTTTCATGTTGGGAATACAAATCATGTCTTCAACAATTTGTGATCTTCTGAGTGCAGGATGAGGGGCTGGGGACTGTGGATTCTCATTATATAGACTCGACACATTAATCTTAATGTTAGCTGTTTAGCATAAAGACTATAACCTAGGATTGCACATCACCTTATAAACCATTCTGCAGTAACTCATTTAAATGTCTCATAGCTAGACATTTTGCTATGAGTTATTGAGTTGCTAACTTCATTTAAAGAGAGTACTGTATCTGGTTCGTAATGTGTGCTTTTCAGTGTAACTATCTACAGTGCTTTAAAAAAATGATTTGCAGGTGTCATACATTTGACATGATTTTTTTTCTCTATTATTTTTAAAAAATCAAAGTATTCCTCAGTTTTTTTAAAGAAGCTTAATATTACAAAGCTTTTGGTACACTGTAGATTTAAGGCAAGCGTCTGGTGGTACTCTAACTCTGCCAATATAGAAGCATCTGAATACATGAATAATTCTGCAATCTGTGAACAGACTATAATGGAGCTTAACAGAAGCTTAATGGAGCTTGCAGTTTTTCTGCAAAAATAAAAGCCGTTTTGTCTGTGCTTGCTCCATAACGGCCTTCTTTAGTGCCTCGAAAAAGCAAGATTAGTGTTGTAATGTATTAGATAAAACGGGCGACTCAAGCAGGGGCTTCAGTTTATAGTTGGCCTTGTATTGGGTAATGTTGGTGAGTGATTTCTGTTACAGGATGAATTTCACTTCTGGAGCTCATCAGCTGCTAAATTCATGTTCTTTGTAAAAGTAATGTCAGGTCATCAGGCATTGTTGGCACCATCAAATTCATGTAGTTTAGCTAAGTTATAGCACCATCAATTCTTGCTAACGTTATTGCTGTGTGAGTGGAAATGCTAGTTGAGTAGCTTTACAAATTACTTCATCAGCTAATGTGATCCATGATATTAACTTTAATAATAAACAGTATTGATTTTAATTAACAATCAATTATGTAACTGTATATAGCAATGGTTAATTTTTTTTTTTTTTGCTTTAATAACTAAAAATAATCCAAGACACAATTGACGATTCGTTAGCTAGCTAGTTGTAACTTGCCTGCCCTACCTTAATCTGTCTTTGGTAACTTTGTGGATTGCTGTAAGAGATCCATGACATCCAGTGCAGTGTTATAATGTTTCACAGTCTTTTATGTTCCATCAAGGTTTAGCTAATGCTAAAACAGTGTGCAAGCTGTCACAGAAAACATTTTAATGCAACAAGATGGAAAAATTGGGGAACTGTTAAGGTAGATGTGTAGCATCTCCAAAATCTCACAATTAAAGTTACTACTATGTAAGTAAGAGGAAATTGAATAGTATCCTTAATCGTGTTTTCATTAGTGTACAAACCCATGTAATTTCGTATATTTTTGTTAGCTTAGGAGAAACGCTTCTTTTGTACATGGAAACAACAGATCTCACTGTCATAGTGTCATTTTTCTGCAGTTTCCAATAATACCCAAACACTGAGCTCTATGTTTCTAATATATATATGTACAGAGTGAAGTACAAATACTGTAGTTGGTTCCAGTCTGCTACCTGATCTCTACCAAGTCCTGCACACTGCTTCTTTAACACATGTCATTTGTTTTAATATATAAATGGTGTTAGATACACTTTGAACAACTTTCTTTAATTTGTTTTCTTTGATATCATTTTCGCCTGTCCCAGTGACAACTTCATAAAGTTCTTTTCTGAGTATGCTACTTTAACCAGTAAATGAAATAATATATGAATACACTGAATGTATGGCATTGTTTGTAAATAAGAGTCTGGCAGAATTATGATGTTGCTCTGAAACTATTGATGGGGGATATGTAGATGTTTGTGTTAGTTAAACTGCCTTCGCTGATCTAGTCATGTTGATTATACCTGAATGCAAAGTAAAATATTTAGTATACGTTTTATTTATTTGTTTATTTATTTGTATTCTGATAATAGTCAGTTTTCAAATGGTGATTAATCCTCATTCAGAATGCTTGAAAACTTGTGTGTACAATGCTCTTTCTATCTCCTATAATTTAGAAGTATGATTGATTTTCTTAAAGAATGATTTTCTTTATTTTTTGCTCACATCTTTTATCATGTAAAAGAAATATTGGCCTAATTCAGTAAATAGGATTATGTTGATCATTGATTCTGAATTGAGAGTAATTTTCAAGTCAAGTTGATTATTAGCTCCAGAAATGTACAGTCTTTTGAGGTGGGGGTTAAATAATGAATCACAT